ATTACATGCCCAACCTCAAATAAGACCCCACCCTTTAGTTAGGAAAAGTACTTGCAGGCTAGGCCTAAAATATGGACCCAAGCCCTCCTATTCCCCTCCCCCTCCCCTCCACACAGAAGAAGAATATTGATTATTATTTACTGGCTTACAATCTCTAAATTCACTGTATATGGTACATCTTAAGGTTTTATCATTATTTATTGTTATTGTTGTTATACCCCTCACCTTGAAGAAGTGCCTAATCTCAAGGTCCAAACACTTAATAAGTCCCCAGGGCACTTAATCCAATAAAAATGGTAATGCACATTCCTGAATCTGAACTCTCTTCCAAGAGGTTATTTTTTCAATGGTTTTCCACAACATGAACTGTTAAAATGGTGAGGAAGAAGAGACCTTTTCTTCCTGTCTGGTGGAATAATGTTATGGACAGAAGAATTGTTTCAAAAACCAGGGAAACTATCCTTGTGGGTTTTTTCGCTCTCTCAGCTCTGAGTTATGTTCACTCTCTTTATATGTAACACAGAAACACATTTTTTAATCAAAGATTGAAATGACTGTAATTTGCTATGAATTTATTTACCAGATCCTGATACACTAGTGCTTGAGTCACTAACAACAGCCTCTGTGATGTTCAATATTCTGCCATTACACAGTAGTTCTCCACCTCATTGTCAGGAGTCATGTGTTATTCAGAGAGCAAGCCACAGTTCTGATGTATCATTTAATGATGACAACTTATCCTGTGATTACAAGGAGACTGGAAGCCATTGGGCTGAGACTGAATTGGAGGAAGGAGAATCAAAACTATCCATGAGTAAGCAAGTCTATAATATATGCTCTTATATTAACCATTTACACCCCACCATCAGTTTTCATATTCTCCATACTGTTCTGTAAACATTTCCTAAGGTGCTGACAAAGAGAATTTGTGTAACAATCAAAAGCTTCTTTTCTTTCTCATTTCTTTTATTCTCATGATCTAAACCTTTGATTCAACAATGATAAAGTAAGGAGAAATATGCTTTCAGTCACTATTAGGAGTTAGGGGTTAAAAGATTCCCTGCATACTGTTTCAATCAATGATCTGATCATTTCCTTTATTGACATGATTTTATTATGTGATTCTGGAGAGATGGTGTAAGGAGAAATTAGATGCTAGTCACTGTAGGTGGTCAAAGGGTTACCCTAGTTTTTGGTTATAAGGTGCATGGTTTTTTCAAGTTATGAGTATCTACTGCTGTGTACATACTCATGTGTCCCAAATTGTTCTTAACTCTCAGTGCTTTTGGATGCCAACAATATCACAACAGAAGCTGAGCTTTGGTCATGTTACATTTTGCGCAAGTCATGTTATGTCTTGGATCTCTTTGCCAGACCGTGTGTTTTAAGTTTCAAGCAAATCTTGGTAATGCTCAAAATGTGAGTATTCATTTCAGTCCTTTATGTAAATTAAACTTCATTGTTTAGCATAGGAGGAGAGTACTTTTTTGTTTACTCAATTAGTTTATATTATTTTAATTATTATATGAAAAATTTTTTTTTTCCTTTGGTTTTTGATTTGCTGCTTGATGTTTCAGAATTTTAGAAGCTTTGATCAAGATTGAAAAGACAGGGTGCAAGTACTTTGATAACATGCTATCAGTTGTTTCCACAATGCTGCACACTTACCAGGACAAACATCAGGTTACAATACCCTGGTATGACTCAAATTTTGTGTATCAGTTATAACCTTCCATAGAGATTTTTCGAGGGAATTTAGGCTGACCACCTCCTTTCTCCACAATTTGGAAATTACACCATTGCTTCATGTTTCTTCGCAAACTTCTTATTTGAATTTTAAATTGATTGCCAGAAACAGCCACATTAGCTGTTAGGCTCCATTTCCTTCAACTTTCTAACTCCCAGAAGTGATTAACATGTCACTTCTTCCTGTGATATCCATCCATTATACAAAGAAAAGGTAATGAGAATACTCAAGCTTGAGGGTAGAGGCTTTTATCTTGATCTCACTCCAAATTCTCAACACCAATTTACAGGGAAATGTGTAGCACCTTGAGGGTAGAATTAACAATCAGATCTTGGGAGTTGATCAGTTAAGATAGAACAAATCTAAATATTTATTATTTTAAACCTTGATAAATTTCAGATAGTACTTCACTTTCAATCAATTTTACTTGTGATCAGAGATGTTGCTGAGCTATAGTTGTTATCATTCTCTTAGGAAATCTACATCTTTTTTGAATTTGACGGACGGATCAACAGATGGTAAGATATACTTCTTACACCATGGTTATTTTGTTTCTGAAAAACCTTTTGTTGAACAACTACAGCAGGATGCCATGTACTATTAGGATAATACTTAAATAAAAATCATTAAATTTACCTTTCACTTCCACACATAATTATATCTTCAACAGGTGGAGAATCATCTCTTATTTTATACAGCCAGATGGAAAAAGATGTTATCTCTGATGCCATTGAAGGACCAAGTACTGCTTATCACAATGAACCAAGCATCTTGGTTAAAGAATTCCAAGAGAGTTTTAATGAAAACATGGATATAATTGAATATCCTATTAACCATAGTGAGACAAGCAAAGAACCGAAAGACAAGGATAATGACGAGGGGACCACCTCTTCTGTTGTTAGTTATGATGACAATAGCATGGATGTTGAGAGCAACGATGAGTATGTGATTCTTACCAGCTGAATGAACAAAAATTTGGGTTTAAGCAATATCCTGTTTATAGTAGATGACAAAAGCACCAACAGCAGAAAATATAATTTATGAACAATGACATTAAGAATTCCTTTGAGAGGGGCTGATTATCCTTTTACAATAAGACAGAAATATTTATGCAGTTTATAGAATGACTTCTGGTTTTCCCTGTTCATATAGAAATGTAAAATCTTTGGGAAAGAAGTGTTCTCTAAATTTATATTTCTAACCCATAATTTTGTGAGGTAACGTGACTTGTGCTAATTAAAAGGATTCTTCTATAAAGCCAGGGTTATACTTATTATAAACTGTAAATAAATCAAAATAAAGACTATGTATTTGAAATGGCCATTGTATATAAAAAAGTAAATCATCCTTTGAAAAGAAAGTGTTGTGACAGTATTTTTGAACAAAATGTTTGTCTTTGTTCAGGCTATTATGCTGAGGTAGAATATAATAGTTGAATAACAGTACTGGAATAATGTGAATAAAATTTTTGTGACTTTCCTTTCAATTGAGTGATGTGATTATTTATAATAGGTCATTTATATATTGTAACTTATATTTTTCTGAGAAGTAAAAGGGTAACATGATGATAATTGGGAGGTGGGGGGGGGTTGATGTGCATATGATCACCCTTTGCTAAGAAAAATAATAATTTTTATGAGTAAAGCATTCCAGAATGTTATTACTGCATATAAAAGGCTAGTATGTTATCCCCTTCTCTCCCCAAATATCAACCTGGTTTGCTTACTCATAAAGTGCTCCGAGCAGCACTTAAGCATACCCAGCCATATTTAGGAATCATTTTCCATCCTTAACCATACTTAGGGCCTGTTTACATGGAGGTGTGGGACCCCAGGTTGGTGAGGTAACCCACCTAACCGTGGTTGAAAAATAAAACGTGTTTACATGCAATCTTACAACCTGGGGTGCTGGGGTGAGGTCTCTTGAGGTTATTGTTGCGCTTGCAATTAAGGAGTTTGAGTAGAGGTGTCCCAAGCTCACACCTCGAAAAAGACAAAGGATTAATTCTCAGACACATATGTATTTATTCATGAAAGTGTCATGCGTTGTGTTACACGGTGTTTGGTTTCGCAAGTAACCGTTGACTTAATACGTAATACGGAATAGTTTGGGAAACCAAATGTGGTTGATTTACAATGCTAAATATTCCAAAATGTGAACATTTTACTCTCCTTGTGTGTCTGTTGCGGTTTCTGGTGATTTCTGCCATGAGACAGACAGGAAATGTACAAAGTTTTAAAGCATACATGTTTCACTTTTGAGCTTTTTGCCATGGATGTGACCCCGGCTAGGTAGGTTACCCCACCTTGACACGTTTACATGGCAAATTGTCACCCCGGCTGGCAGGGTTACCCTACCTAGCAGACCGGGCAACCCGCATAGGCAGGTCTCCCTAACTATCATATAAACGTGATCGAAATAAAATAAAAATTTATATGGACAGGCGGGTTACCCCACTTAGGCAGGTTACCTCACCTACCTGGGGTCCCCCACCTCCATGTAAACAGGCCCTTAACATCTGTAGTCGCACTTAGGAAAAACTATTACGGGACCACTATTAGTGTACCTGACCAGACCAATACCAAGTAGTTACCCCTCTCGGTTTCCATTGATAAGTTGGTGTAACAATCAAACCATCATTATTAAGTGGTTTCTTGGAGTGTTTCAAGACCTCTTTTAACCTCGGTTACACTCACAATTAATCACAATCAACCTCGTTTCACGAAAAAAAATGTGCGAAACCAGAAAGTACTCCGCCATTTATTTAAGTATCCATTGTTGTCTAAACTTGTTTTTCAAAGCTCACCAAGAAGAGGCAGAAGATTATGTTGTTACACATAAAAATTTTGGAGTGGACAATTCTAGATAGTATGCAGTGTGTACTTACCGGTTTTTGTCATAGCCTTCGCCACTCTCTGCGCGCAAGAAAACCCTGAAATTGCAGCAGTCACCAAGAGTGTTCGAACTTCATCTTCGCTCTTGTTTACAACTCATTCATTGTTTCCTGAAACAAAGATATTTCATTGTTCACAGAATTTGTTGATCAAAAAACTGCAAATAAATCATATACAGGCAACATACTCCACATACTTCATGCATTGTGTAGTCTGTAACCCTTTCAGGAAAAGTACTAATTAAACCTTTCACTTCTCTGGGGAGTAATTAAACAAATATGCACTTCCTTGCCAGAGTGGGGAGGGTTGGAGATGTCACTTCGGATTGTCACAATTCTTTTCAGTCTGGATCACTTATTTGTGTAACATTACACAAGTAAAGAAAAATACGAATCAGCTGAATTTTGTTTTACGAATTTTCGAACAAGAGTATTCTCAGTCTCGTGGGGAGTAGGGTTAGGTTGACCGTAATTTAGAAGTGTTCAGCGGCAATCGCTCAGTTGTTCCCGCCATTTTCAATTTGTACATTGGTTGCACTGGTTGAGGTATACTTTATACGATCTAAAAAACCGTTGTTCTCGTTCAAGATTTCTCTTTTAGCTAGGTTCAAGCGACATGGATAACGCTCAAAAACGCAAAGGAAGCGAGGAGGTTGGCAGCTCTGCAAAACGATCCCGCCATGATGAGGGAAACCCGCGAACCTTCGAGGAAGAGTTGGCTTTGCTCGGTGAAGTCGTGGACAAAGATCCAGCTCACAAGTGGTCCAGACCGGCTGCACCGAAGTTAAATCCTTCCTCTGAAAGCCTCGTATTTCAGCAGTTGGAGGTGGACAACTACATCGGTTTGTGCCTCTAAGTTTCTTAATGAATACAGTTATTCTATTGTGAAGGTTGAAACTTTTTTTTGACAGAAAAGGAAGGTTTGTGCAAGCTTAGATTTTATCTTTAGATTGGGTTTGATTGGTGAACTTGTTTTACATGGTATTGTAAATCATACTGTTTTCGGGTGTTACCGTCTTTGCAAGTGGTCGAGGGTGCAATCCTTCAGCCTGATTTCAATTCGTGTCAGGAATGAAAAATGAATGCTATAAAGAAACTAATCATATTATAAAGATCAAGGTTTCTGTTATGATTCTTCATCGCAGGTAAACCCCTACAGGGAATGCCAGGGTCCAAGGTTGGTCCAGTACCGATAGTTCAGATGTATGGGGTGACAATGGAGGGGAACAGTGTCCTTTGTCATATCCACGGGTTCGTACCATATTTTTACGTCCCAGCTCCGTCAGGATTTCAGCAGAGTTACTGCAGTGTATTTCGGGATTGTCTTGATAAAGCTGTGTTGGGAGACATGAGATCAAATAAGGATGTTACTCAGGTAGGTGTCATGCGTTCTATCTGGATATGTGGAAAAGTAAAAAAAGGAAAATAACATTTCACAGGATTTACCTAAGAAGATGTCATTTGTTATTCAAGGGGAATTGCCATACAACTTCATCTTGCCAGCTCAGGAGAGCAAAAATTACTGTATTTCTATCAATCTGCTATCAAAATCTAGCTATTTACTACAATTTTCAGATCATGTGTACTAAAGGCACCCGCAGTCGAGTGTTGATCAATACCAGCAATCGACACTCGACCAAAATATCGATCAAGTGTGGTTGACACTCGATCAACCTGTTGATTGACACTCAGTCGACAGTCGGTCAATAGTCGGTGAATAGAATCCTACTTTTTGCAGACACTCCATTGAGGCGTGGCGCGAAAACTGGCAAGCTGTGTTCAGTTTTAATTCAAGCTGGAAAGATTTGTAGATATCATTTTGGTTGACAATTTCATTACAGAAAAAGACACAAAGAGATGTGATTCTTTTGCACACAAAGAAATTTGGGTTTAGCAACTAAGTTCATGTAGTAAATTGACCATGGTACAAGAATGCAAGAGCTGATATTTTGAGCATTTACCCTAGCCTTTGTCTAAGCGAATTAGGGAATTATGGGTCGTTAGCGGTGTATATACTGAAAGAAACAAAGAATGAAATATATATTAATTGCCAAGTTTTGATTCAGCTGAGCTGTCATTCAAGGTTGGAGTTTTTTCATTACATTAACACAGTTAATTGATTAGTGATCAAAGCTCACACTAGAGGAATCTCGCTCAGCTACCACCGAATCATTGAGACTGAGGCCTTCAGTGGATGTCAGTGATGATTTGAACTGGACTTTACAAAGGACAGGTTGGATAAGTCCTGTTAGACATACATCCTGGACAAATTAAGTATGTAACATTTAGTGCATTATCATAATTATCCTGGATAGATCTCCTAAAATTTTAACTGATATACTAAGCGGTTAAGGGAAGTTCAGCTCATTTAAAAATTTATTGAAAACTTTATCTATGTTTCTATCATTTCCTCAGAACAGGCACCTCATGAAAGCTTTTTTTTTCTCAAGTGTGGGGTGGTGACGGTTGGGTGGGGAGGGGGGGGGTGTTATTGGCAGTTCCTAGATCCTTAGCTTCTCTTTATCGATTAAATGCCTAAGGAGTTTCTTTGTTATTTTCTGGTGTAAAAGCTTCCTGTAGGAAAGAAAGGAAGAAGTCTGACTTCTTCCTTGAATCATTTGATAGGGCAGCTCAGCAATGTAGCTCAATATCTTTGACCAATGGCTTTCCACAACACTCCCTCTCAGTGGAAACAACTGTGTTGAACTTATCTCTGTCCAAGATTTTTAGCTCACAAATTCCAATGAATTCCCTCAGCGTATTTTTGGCCACTCCATATTTCTCCATAGCCTTGGCAAGGGAACACTTTCTCTGTTTCAATATCTTCAGAACTCCTTCATAACGGGCGTGAATTCCTCCTAGATCCAGGCCTGTCACTATAAGGTGTAACAGAAAGTATCAATGAAATTGTGAATTTAATCTTTCCAGTCCAATAACTTCCGTTTATGTTGTGTACTTCAAATATCGCAATTCAAATGCAGTACAGTGCAGCTTATTGTGACTATCATGTAATCCTATGAGTTACACTATTGGCTACTTTACATCACATGGTTTGATGGTTATCTAGCAATAACCCCTATCTGCATTGATATTTGTCCTTCGATTATTTCCGTCGAAAAGAAGGAAAGCCAGCGGAAAAAAAATCCAGCTCAAGAGGTTCAAATTTTCATAATTATTTCACAAGGAAGAAAAAGAAACTTTTTTTCTAGAGTCCAGTGTTAGTGACATTAAAAAACCAGTCACAAATGCTGTTCTGGAAAATACAAAAAAGTTAAAAAAATATGCTGTCAACGTCTTTAACTTTATTTAAGTCTCAAATCGTTCTAGCCAAACACAAGTGCTCTACTATTTGGGGAGACTGTAAATCAAAGAGGGGAAACTGGAGTACCTGGAGAAAAACCTTTCAGAGCAGAGTTTAGAACCAACAAACTCGATTTGTGTTTCAGCCATAAATCAAAGAGGGGACTGAAAAACTCAGCCCGTCCAGTACAGACCTCGAACTCAGTTAGTAAGAGGTATCTAGTAGTCAAGTGTGGTGAACCAATCATACCAATGACTAAAATCTGGAAAAAAGCTGGAAAGAGCACCTTAAAATTAGTAGAAATGGCTAAGTTTTGGAGTTATATCTGAAACACAAAGCGCGTAAGGCCATAAGGGGGAAAAACGAGGATCCGTAACTTACAAAAGGGATCAGCAAGACAAGGTTTGCAAGACTAAGAGATACAATAATTAACTATTAAGATAAAAAGGTATTAAGGTTGAAAACTAATAAAAGTCAGCCGAGAGTCGACAGTCAATTGGCCGATTAGCCGTCGCGATAAGGATGCTGCCAGCCAACACGAGTCGGTTGCCACTCGACCGACTATTGACCCTTGTCGAGCTAGTGTGGACCATGTGTCGATCGACTTATGGACCAATTGTCTATTGACACTCGACCGTCAAGTGGATCACATGTCAACCACACTTGATCAATATGTCGGTTAAGTTTCGATCACTGGTATCAATTGTCACTCGACCACGGGTGCCTTTAGTACACATGATCCCAATTTTCAACAAAATTAGCCAAAAGGAAGAAGTGTTTTATCTGAATAAGACCCTCCTATTAGTTTTCAACTTTTCCCAACTGTTCTCCAAGTAATTTTTGATATTATGGTGTAAGGAGATGTTAACCACTTCATTACCCAGGCTGTTCTTGCCGTTGACTGTGAGACAAAGGAGAGTATTTATGGATACCATAGCAACAGGAAGATCCCATTCCTTCGCATCACCATGGCACTGCCAAAACTTGTTGCACCAGCTAAACGGATTTTGGAGACTGGCTTTAAATATGCAGATCTCCCAGAAAGAGGATATTCCACTTATGAAAGCAACATTGATTATGAGGCATGTTACAATCTTATTATAACTTTCATTCACTGTTGTAAGTTTCACCTTTGTAGGAAGATGTATCAATGTAAAATTGTAACCTTAAGGTTTCCCAAAGGGCAGTGAACATCTTTATGTATTTTTTATCAGCCGGGGAATTTGTTAACAGTTGGTTGCCAAGCTCATCAGAGCTTGCTATACCAGTTTTTACAGTATGAAGGGGTGAGAAGGTTATTGTCCCTCCACTTAGATGGGATTGATGCTTTTTCCACATTATCTTTCCAACACTGGTTCTGACCATTTTAAACTCATGCTTGAAGAAGGGCAAAAATCCTGAATGTTGTCTGCCAAACAAACTTTAACAGTACAGTGACTCACTCATGAGAAATGTGAGGCTGAAAAAGGGCACCAATCTAGTTAATAACTTTCCTGTTTATTTTTTTTTTTTCTTCTTGTTCTTGTTTTGAACATGAAAGGTTCGATTCATGGTAGACACAAGTGTTGTGGGCTGTAACTGGATAGAATTACCAGCTGGGAAATACAGAGTGCGTTCACCTTCCATGGGAGGTAGTGGAAAAAGTGAGGCCCAGCCTGTGTCTCATTGTCAAATTGAAGTGGATGTTGCCTATGATGAGTTCATTAGTCACAGTCCTGAAGGTAATTAGTCAATTCTAAGTTATTTCCTCTGAAATTATGTACTATACATTAGGGAGGTAATCAGAACCAAAGCAAAATTCTCAATGTGATTGGTTATCACCAGCTCTATTCGGGTGCTAATTTATGGGATTGCCTACAAGTCAAGTGTTTTCATACTTTAGATTAATTAGTAACAAGACTGTGTATCTTCCAGTTTTCCTAGCAGTCATAGTCATAATTAACTGATCAGACTGCTGCTTTGTGGTCATCCTCTGATTACAGCTGGAATTGGACTCCATTCAGTCCCATTACCACTACTGATTGTGATTCTCAGAAAACTATGATCACTTAGAATATTTAAGCAATGTTTTTTGTATTATGATCAATTGCACTGGCAGTAAGGGCATGCAAGTAAACTTTTACAGCTTATTCTTATCCCATGCCTGGTTGACTTGTTGTCCTTGGCCAACCGGCAACAGTTTGTGTAATTTCATACCTCTGAATTTTTAGAAAAAAAGTTGTTTTGTAATATTCTGATTATAATGGTAAGAGGAACTTTATAGTAATGATTGTAATTGTTGTCATGATTCCTTTTTGTTCAAAGGTGAATGGTCTAAAGTGGCTCCAGTTCGAATCCTGAGTTTTGACATAGAATGTGCTGGCAGAAAGGGAGTGTTTCCTGAACCAGAGAAAGATTCAGTGATTCAGATTGCAAACATGGTCATAAACCAGGGTGATAAGGATCCATTCATCAGAAATGTGTTCACACTGAACTCCTGTGCTCCAATTGTAGGGTCACATGTTTTGTCATATAAAAGGGAACAAGATATGCTTCAGGTCTGTGGCAGTTAAAAATTAAGTCAATTTAACTAACTCCACAACAGAAAAGAAAATAGTTGTTTTCAAAATTTTCTCCAAGTTCTAAAACAGTGATGGCAGTTATTGTCAGTAAAGAAATATTTTCAGGAAATATCTATGAGTCTTGTATGATTGTCACTAGAGCCATATGCAACACATTTTTCAGTGACAAACTTGCATCATAAGTAGGCTGCTATGAAAGGAATTTGTCAACTTGACAATTTCCATGATTTTTTAAGGTTAAGTGTTGGGATAACATTATACTGCAACATCAGTCTTGTAACAGGGTACAGTCTAAGTTATTAAAGGTACTTACATATTGAGCAACATTCCTGACTTTCTTCTTTTTTATTACAATGACCAAAAATGTCTGTACTTTTTTATTTATGATGGCCATAAGCTGTCATAGTTAGACCTGTAAGCAATTATGGTACTGCTGTTTCTAATTTTCTTTTGCTGATTTTCTTATCTTTTTATTACAAGGAACAAAAATGTCTGTACTTCTTGATTTATGATGATCATAAGCTGTCATAATTAAACTTAGTCTAGTAAGTAATTACAGTTCTGTTGTTTCTAATTTCCTTTTTCTGCTTTTCTTATCCATTTGTTTAAAGGCATGGAGTGATTTTGTAAAAAAAGTGGACCCTGACATCATAACTGGATACAATGTTGTGAACTTTGACCTTCCCTATTTACTGAATCGAGCAGCAGCTTTGAAGGTTCAGTCCTTTTCATTCCTTGGACGTGTGAGAGATGAAAAGAGCACCATATCAAACACAGTTTTTCAATCCCGTGCTTATGGCAAACGTGAGAACAAAGTCATAAACATTTCTGGACGTGTTCAGTTTGATCTGTTACATGCCTTGCTGAGAGATTACAAACTGAGATCTTACACCCTGAATTATGTCAGTTTTTATTTTCTACAAGAACAGAAAGAAGATGTACAGCACAATATTATAACAGATTTACAGGTACATAAGAAAAGATATTGTGTATTTACCATTAATTGATTAATTGCCCAAGGATTTTTAGAGTATTGCGAGGTTTAATTGATAATGTTCAGATTTTTAGTTAGAGTTGTTTTAGTGCCTTAATTAAGTGAAACATTCTAAAAATGTTTTGGTAAAACATCATGATCTTCAATGACCTCCAGTATATATGTGTATTTGTAAAAGATTTTCAAATGATTTTAATGAAAATATTAATCATTTTCATTAAGAATGGAAACGACCAAACCCGTCGCAGACTGGCCATTTATTGTATGAAAGATGCTATTCTTCCTCTGAGGTTACTAGAAAAACTTATGTGCCTTATTAACTATATGGAGATGGCACGAGTCACTGGTGTTCCTCTTAGTTATCTCTTATCAAGAGGACAGCAGATAAAAGTTGTTTCACAGCTCCTCAGAAAGGTGAGTTCCCCAATACTCAAAGTTAGTCTATTTGATATCAGACTGTAGTTTCAACTTGGTTTACATGTGACTTGAGGCTTATCCCCATGAGCTTAAGAATTTGGATCAAACAGACACTGTCCAGTTTTTTTTTTCTTTTCTTTTGGAAAATTGTTACTGTTATAGTGGCTCTTCTATGTGCATAAATGGTTCCTGGAATTTGTGATAATGGACGTAGGCTGTAATTGAAGGTATTTTTAATGAACAGTTGCGTCTGATTGCAGTAAAATCAGTTGTGCTTTGCTGTAATACAAACAAGGAGTAGCTTGCTATAAGGGGTTGTCAACTGCAACCTTACACCATTAAAATCAAAATTATGCTGTGACATTTTTTTAGTCTAAAGAGCAAGACTTGTTACTTCCTGCTCACAAGGCAGAAGCTGGAGATGAATACACTGGAGCCACAGTCATTGAACCATCTAAAGGGTAAACTCCTTTTCACATCAGAGTTTCAGTTGTTAAAGTCAATGAATAGTAAGTGGGCTGTAGTTGTATTGAAAGTATTTCACTGATTTTGTCTGATGGGTAGAAAAGTGCTTCATGAAATTAATTCAGATGTCACCGGTAATCAGAAAATTAATCCATGTTACGTTCATTATTCCCTAATTAGCAAGAGAAAGTTGTTTGTTTGTTTTTCTTCACAGGTATTATGACATTCCTATTGCAACACTTGATTTCTCTTCATTGTACCCATCCATCATGATGGCTCACAATTTGTGTTACACCTCTCTTCTGCATCATAGTGATCTGGCTAAGTAAGTAAATGGTCATGATCTTGCTAACATGCTTGGCAATATGTAGTTTTTGTTACAGTATTATTGCAGAAATATGGTAAACTGTTTTTATGTTAAGTCGAAGCTCAGTCACAGGGTTTAACAGTGACTTCTTAGACAGACACCAAATGGTGACTGAGTACTCTCCTTCCAGTCACCAGATGGAAAGATTTAGTCACTAACACAACATTGGCAAGATTTTTATTTCAAAATGAATTAAGGAAATATCAGGTTGTAGAGATGTTTCTTGAATTTTGATTTATTCCTACTCTTGAAAAATTAATCATCCATAGATTTTACAAAAGCATGGCAAAAACATGATCAAGTACTAGTGATGATAAGTAGGTAAAAAAAAAAAAGCTTTTTCATAGTAATTTTAATTTTTTTAAATATTGACGTATTTTTATCTATTTCTCAATTTTGATAAGCATCTAGAGGGAACTGGATAGGTACTGAACAAGTGTTTATTATTACTATTAATATTATTATTATTATTATTATTATTATTAT